CTAAATATAATGAAAGCGACACACAACAAACCCATAGATAATATACTAAACAGACAACAGCTAGATTTCCTTCAAAATTGCGATAACTTGCAATTATATGATCTCATTTGTAGAAAACTTCCCAAATTCTACCTTATTTAAGTTAATTTTAAAAACTCAACAAAATTTCCATATGCAAAATGAACATATACAAGTTAGTGGGACTCCTCCATAACAAATAGTGAGTTACAGAATAGACATGGTGGATGCAATATCATTTTAAAAAGGTAAAAAAAAGTGCCTGCTAATGAAGTTCAACCAAAACCAAAGAGCTCCAAAATGTCTACAAAACACTGATGAGTGACACTGAGCACTGAAGGACACACACATTCACACACACTCATGAAATACATTATGTGTTCATGAAATGGAAAAACAAATACTACTAAAAACCCATGTTGTCCAAAGCAATTTATAGATTCTGTACAATAGTTATCAAATACCAATACATTTTCCATAGAACCAATAAAAACAATACTAAAGTTCATATGAAGTCACAAAATCCTGATCAATTAAAGCAATTTTAGGAAAATAAAAGGTAAGAAATATTACTTGCTTTCAGAATCTATTAGAAGATACAATAATTTGATAATATAGGTGTTCGAACAAAAATAAGATAAAAAAGTGAAACAGAAGAGAGAACCTAGGAGCAAACCCAAATCTACATGAAATTGATTTCCAACAAAAGGTGCTGAGCACAGGTATCAGATAAGGACCAAGAGATGGCCTAAAAATCCTCAACAAAATACTGGCAAACCGAATCCAAGAACACATCCGAAAAATTATCCATTATGATCAAGTAGGGTTCATTCCTGAGATGCAGGGCTGGTTCAACATACGAAAATCTATCAATGTAATCCAGCATATAAATAAACTGAAAGAAAATAACCATATGATCATTTCATTAGATGCTGAAAAAGCATTCGACAAAATTCAACATCCATTTATGTTAAAAGTCTTGGAGAGATTAGGGATACCTAAATATAATAAAAGCTAATATACACCAAGCCGACAGCTAACATCAAATTAAACGGAGAGAAACTCAAAGTCATCCCGCTTAACTCAGGAACACGACAAGGCTGTCCACTCTCGCCATACCTCTTCAATATAGTGCTTGAAGTTCTAGCAATAACAATAAGACAACATAATGGGATCAAGGGGATTTGAATTGGAAAGGAAGAAGTTAAACTTTCGTTATTCGCAGATGATATGATAGTGTACTTAAGCAACCCCCAAAACTCCACCAAAGAACTTTTACAGCTGATAAACAGCTTTAGTACTGAGGCAGGATACAAGATCAACTCCAAAAAATCAGTCGCCCTCTTATACACAAAGGATATGGAAGCAGAGAGGGAAATCAGAGAAGATTCACCATTCACGATAGCCACAAACAGCATAAAATATCTTGGGGTAAATCTAACCAAGGAAGTGAAAGATCTATTTGACAAGAACTTTAAGGTATTGAAGAAAGAAATTGAAGAGGATACCAAAAAATGGATGGACCTCCCTTGGATTGGGAGGATCAACATAGTAAAAATGGCAATTCTACCAAAGGCAATTTATAGATTCAATGCAATCCCCATCAAGATCCCATCAAAATTCTTCACAGATCTTGAGAGGACAATAATCAACTTTATATGGAAAAACAAAAAACCCAGGATAGTCAAAACAATCCTATACAATAAAGGATCTTCTGGAGGCATTACCAGCCCTGACTTCAAACTCTATTACAGAGCTACAGTAATGAAAACAGTGTGGTACTGGCATAAAAACAGAGAAGTCGACCAATGGAATCGTATAGAAGACCCGGATTTTAACCCACAAACCTATGAACACCTCATTTTTGATAAAGGAGCTAAAAGTATACAATGGAAGAAAGAAAGCATCTTTAACAAATGGTGCTGGCACAACTGGATATCAACCTGTAGACGAATGAAAATAGACCGATATCTATCACCGTGCACAAAACTCAAGTCCAAATGGATTAAAGACCTCAATATCAGCCCGAACACACTGAAAATGATAGAAGAGAAAGTGGGAAGTACCCTACAACAGATGGGCACAGGAGATCGCTTCCTATGTATAACCCCAGAAGCACAAACATTAAGGGCAACATTGAATAAATGGGACCTACTAAAACTGAGAAGCTTCTGTAAAGCAAAGGACACTGTCACTAAGACACAAAGGCAACCTACTGACTGGGAGAAGATCTTCACCAACCCTGCAACAGACAAAGCTCTGATCTCCAAAATATATAAAGAACTCAAGAAACTAGACTTTAAAATGCTAATTAACCCAATTAAAAAAATGGGGCACTGAACTGAACAGAGAATTCTCAACAGAAGAAGTTCAAATGGCCAAAAGACACTTAAGGTCCTGTTCAACTTCCTTAGCAATCAGGGAAATGCAAATCAAAACAACTTTGAGATATCATCTTACTCCTGTCAGAATGGCTAAAGTCAAAAACACCAAGGACAGCCTTTGCTGGAGAGGCTGTGGAGGAAGGGGTACACTCATCCATTGCTGGTGGGAATGCAATCTTGTGCAACCACTGTGGAAGTCAGTGTTTCGGTTTCTCAGGAAATTCGGGATCAACCTACCCCTGGACCCAGCAATACCACTCTTGGGAATATACCCAAGAGATGCCCGATCATATGACAAGAGCATTTGTTCAACTATGTTCATAGCAGTATTATTTGTAACAGCCAGAACCTGGAAACAACCTAGATGCCCTTCAATGGAAGAATGGATGAAGAAAGTATGGAATATCTACACATTAGAGTACTACGCTGCGGTAAAAAACAATGACTTCTCGAATTTTGCATGCAAATGGATGGAAATAGAAAACACTATCCTGAGTGAGGTATCCCAGACCCAAAAAGATGGACATGGGATGTACTCACTCATAATTGGTTTCTAGCCATAAATAAGGGTCACGGAGTCTACAATAGGTAAATCTAAAGAAGCTAAGTAAGAAGGTGAACCCAAGGAAAAACATATAGTTATCCTCTTGGCTAAGGGAAGTAGACAAAATTGCCAGGGAGAAAATTGGGATCTTGGGGGTGGGGTGGGATGGGGGTAAGGGGAGACGGGGAGAGAAAAGTTAGAAGGGAAGGAGGTGGGGCCTTGGGGAAACAGGAGGACTGAGATAAAGGAAGGTTGGACAGGGGAGCACGGAAGCACAATTCTTAGTTAAGGGAGCCACCTTAGGGCTGGCAAGAGACTTGAACCTAGAGTGGCTCCCAGATGCCCAAGCCGAGGTCCCCAGTTAGTTTCTTGGGCAGCTGAGGAGAGGGAACCTGAAATGACCCTATCCTAGAGCAATAATGACGAATATCTTGCATATCATCATAGAACCTTCATCTGGTGATGGATGGAGATAGAGACAGAGACCCACACTGGAGCACTGGACTGAGCTCCCAAGGTCCCAATGAGGAGCAGAAGGAGGGAGAACATAAGCAAAGAAGTCGGGACCACGAGGGGTGCACCCACCCACTGAGACAGTGAGGCTGATCTATTGGGAGCTCACCAAGGCCAGCTGGACTGTGACTGAAAAAGCATGGGATAAAACTGGACTCTCTGAACATGGCAAACAATGAGGGCTGATGAGACGCAAAGGACAATGGCACGGGGTTTTGATCCCGCTAAATGTGATGGCTTTTTGGGAGCGTAGCCAGTTTGGATGTTCACCTTCCTAGATAAGGATGGAGGGGGGAGGACCTAGGACTTACCACAGGGCAGGGAACCCTGACTGCTCTTTGGACTGGAGAGGGAGGAGGAAAGGAGTGGGGGGAGGGGGAGAAGGTTGGGAGGAGGGGGATGGAAATGGGAGGCTGGGAGGAGGTGGAAACTTGTTTTTTTTTTTTAACTCCTTTTCTCAATTAAAAAAAAAGAACATCACATACATACAGAAGAAACTAGACATTTTAAATCATTATACATAAAAATCAACTTAAACACTGGTTTGCTGAGGTAGTTTGAATGAGAGGTTCCTCACAAATCTTGGGCATTTGAATTCTTAGTCTCCAGTTTGTGAGCTTTTGAGAAGGGTTAGGAGACATGGTCTTGCTGGAGGAAGTGTGACGCTGGGCATGGCCTTGACGTTTCAAAAGACTAGCACCATATTGAATCCTCCCTCTAATTCTGTTATTGATTCAAGATGTTAACTGCCAGCTGGGCCTGCTACTATGCCTCTACTCAGCCAGCATGGATGCTAGCCCACGGGAACTATAAGGCAAAAATAAACACTTCCTTCTCTAAAAAAAAAAAATCAACTTAAAATGTATTAAATACTTAAATATAAGATGTCTAACTATGATAATATTGGACAAAACTACATGAGAAATGTTTTGAGACATTACTTTTGGAAAAGATCCCAAAAGCTTAGAGACAATCTACTGAATGAAAAAAAATGTTTTTTTCCCAATTCATAGGGTGTTGAAATCCAGAAAATAGAAGAAACTCTAAAATTTCAGTGTTAAAAGTGTGCAACAAATCTAAACAGATATTTCTTTAAAATGGCAGGGTAGTGAGATCAGAAGAGCTGGTCATGCATTGACAGTCAGGAAGCAGAGAGTGAATGGGAAGTGGGACTGAACTATAAATCTTCAAGACCTGCCCCCAGTGACCACTTCCTCCAGCAAGCCTCACATCTCAAAGAATCTATAAGGATTTCCCAACCAGCACCAGGGCACCAAGTGTTCAGGCACATGCGTCTATGAGGGGTATTTCACAAAGGATAGTAAAGTCCAATGGTTTAAGTGTCCTATTCCAGTTCGTTCTACAACTAGGAAATCCTGGGATAGGCTATATTTTATCAATCTGCTTATTTTTTAACTATTCAATATGTAGTTGAAGAACTTATAAGGGATAATTTTTCTCAGAAGTCTTTTCTACACAAAGTTCAACTTTTCATTAATGCTGGAAATTTCAAGAACTATCATCATCAATGTAAAGCATACCTAGGAGTGCGGTGAGCTTTGGGAGAAGCCCGACTTGTACCATCTTGTTCCTCAGGCCTGTGTCAAACGACAGGTTTAATAAAAGCCGGAGGGTGATATTCAGGAGATCTTCATGCTCACAGGGTATCATTTTCACTAGTTTTTCAACAATATCCATCTCCACCTATAGTAAAAAAATAAAACACATTTACATTAGATTGCAAAATAAGATATAAAAGGTTACACAGCCTGTTTTTATATGAATTAGGAACTATTTCCTAAGTATGTATTAGCTTATATTCTCATTTCAACCTATAAATCAAATTTTTAAGGAGGAAACATGCACTCCTATATCACCCATTCCCTTCCCTCATTTATCTGTCTTCAACCTGATAACAAATTGCATTTGATCCTTGAAAACTGCAAATTGAGCACGACCCACTAACATTCCAGAATTCTACAAGAACAAACAAGGTTTCATTTGGTTTTCAAGAATTCCTACCTCTGAAAAGAGTGGACAAATAAAACAAGTAGTATATATACAATGTGATAAACAAGTAGTATATATACAATGTGATACACAAGTAGTATATATACAATGTGATAAACAAGTAGTATATATACAATGTGATACACAAGTAGTATATATATATACAATGTGATAAACAAGTAGTATATATATAATGTGATAAACAAGTAGTATATATATGTATATATATATACAATGTGATAAACAAGTAGTATATATATGTATATATATATACAATGTGATAAACAAGTAGTAAATACAGAATGTGATAAACAAGTAGTATATCTACAATGTGATCCTTTGCTATCTCAGGGTAAAATCAGGAAGCTAGAGTGACTACATGTATTGAGGCACATAATGTCTAGCTTAGTTCTAAAATACTAATTTCATAAGATGCTGTCACATATAAGGGCATTTCTCCCACATAAAACTGGAACATGTGTATCTAAAGTAAAAATCTGAATAAGATTAAACACTTGTAATAACTCTGAATGAGAAATTAACTTTGTTGAACCTCATTATTTTCTTCCCCAATAAAACTGATGTATGATGAGATGTACTGCTTTCTGTCTTCTGATTCTATATTACTAGATTTAAATGTAAATGAAAACTAATGTTGAGATATATCTAGTAGGTTGACCACTTCAAGGTTGATCATACTTAAATATAAGCATTTGGGCTAAACTGCATACACTAAAATCAGAAATGCAAGACGTAAAATAGTTAAACACCAAATGAACCTGAAGTTTAAGCTATTATTTTTAAGATATCATGTGTGTCTATTCTATGTCATATTAGACAATACTTTTATCTAGAAAGATGCAATTATCTAGAAGAGTGATGATACTGGCTATATTTCCTAATGAAGCTGTTACACTTACTATAAATTACCTTAGTAGGGATTAAAAATGTTTACAGTTTATCAGAATATGTTAACTTAAAAACAGCTAATATCAACCATTTGAAATAGCTTTGTACATTACCATGTCGTTTTTATTCTCCATAAAAATACTGAGTTTCTTTAAGAATGACACAACTAGAATGAGCAGCTCAAAATTGTCCCGATCAAGAGCCTTCACCAACATGTGGACTATATTCTTGTTCCTCATCTTCAGTTCTGTACGTGTGTCCTCAGCAAGATTCAAAAGTAAATAGAGAGCAACTGAGAAAGAAAACACATGAGTTGAATGGCTGGCATATTGAATCAATAATTTAAAAAATCAGTTCTACTTACCAAGGTCATGGACACAGTTCTAAAAAGGTTCTATATTACTTTAAAATTTTTAACATAATTAAAACATTTAAACTTTATCAAATGAGATATGGATATTATAAAACACAGGATATTCCTTTAATTAATCTACTTTATTAAGGTTTTAGTTAACACACAATATATTAAACTTCATTATGTATTTTCAAATTTCCTTTGTTTTTGCTAATCCTCCTCACTCTGCAGCATACCCAAACCACCTTGTGCCCAGTAGCCTCATTTCTGCTGCCATGTCACATGTTCTGTGTGCACTATGTTCTTATGAAGCCAAGACCATAAGAACGAGTCTAATGGTTTGCACTCTCCAGAAGCTTCGAGTTTAATAGTAAATAAATGATGAAGATTTATAAATAGGCAAATAATAAACAAGGGGAATAACTTTATACATACAAAAATAAGGAGTTATCATTAAACAAAATTTTAATCTCCAACAGCTTCTTGGAGGACTCCACAGTCCTTTCTGAAAGTGAGAATTGCATGATCCACTGGCAGGTAGTAGTTTTCATTGCCTTGATAGGAAGTTTCATAGTAATACTTAAAAGATCTTTTTCTGTCAAAATTATGTATATTATTGATGAATATAATCCTTTTGCCTTCTCTTTAAAGTCTGAATGTTACTCATTATTCTAACATTTTATCTATTTATCCTGAGATCACGTTGATTTTGGCCTTCTAGCCTTCAGAACTGTGAGAGAATAATTTCCATGGCTTTAAGAAAGCCACTTAGAACTACTTCATTACAGTAGGCATTGGCCTTAAATTGTCATAGAAACAAACAACAAAAGATTAGAATACACAAACTCAAGTTTTTCACAATAATAGACATCAAATAATGAAGTATAGAGTAATCTGAGCGGTAGGAAACAAAGGAAATAGCCATGTGACTGCCGAGAAAGCTGTCTGGGGAGTTTCTACATCACCACACCAGAAAGAAGTCAGGCAAAACCCAACCAATCTCTAAGCAAAGCTAATGGACTGAAGGGTCTGATGGAAGCCAAGAGTTCACAAAGAAAAGCATTGGAAATCAAACTGTGTTCTCTAGAGAGGCAGCCAGTGTTCCATTAATCCAACTCTCTAGCCCTAATAGGGTAAATTTTCCAACATCAACAGAGTACAAGGAAATGTTTTCCCTAGAATTCCAAACCCTATTAAAATAGTTTAAAAGAAAGAAAAAGATATTTCCAAATGTCAAAAGATTAAACAAAAATAAACATTTTTACCAGTGAACCTTGATTTATAAAGAATATTAAAGGAAATCCCTTAGACAAAAATTAAGAGCAGAAAGGAATATATGTCCACAAATTAATAAAATCAATGGAAATGATCACTATACATATCAATGTTTAAACTCATTTCTATATTATAAAATGTCAAAATTAAATATAAGATTTATAATGTAACAGATTTTACAGTTGAAAAAAAGAGAAAAATGTTTTCTGTTTGCTTGTATTTGTGTTCTGAGGCAGAGCCTTGCTAAGGAGCCCAGGTTGACCTTATATCTGTAATCTTCCTGCAATATCTTCCTCAGGGGTAGGATTACAAGTACCTGCCATCACATGCAGTCAGAAAAAAATAGCTTTATTCACTAAATAAATGAGATATCACTTGACAGAAAACTTAATATGAGACAAGTTAATGATGTACACTTGAATACAGACAACTGAAAACTAAACCCCATGGCATGTAGCAGGCTGCATATTCAAGCGTACATATGACCTTCACTGAGAAAGACTATATTCCAGACCATAAAATAAGACTCAGTAAGTCTCAGAGGAGTGAAAGCATAGAAAGCATATTTTCTGATGATAGTGAAATTAAAGATTAATGATACTAAGATTTCTAGAAAAGCCCTATTTATATGGACAAAATACTGCTGTGTAAATAACCTATGGGTTAAAAACAAAAATAAAATGGACATTAACTTCAACTAAATAAAATTACAAATGAAAACAAAACAGTTAAAAATATGTGGGTTGCTGACAGAAGGAACATTTGTGTTCTAGAACCAAAAAAGTGACCTCAGTTTCCATAGAAAAACAACAAAATGGAGCAAATTAAACCCCAAATATGCTAAAGAAATGATCATCTTGTGCTGTAGTCTTTAAATGACTGTGTTGAAGGCAACTATTTTAAGTTGATTTCAGAACATTTGATGCCCTACACATGATGTGGGATTCCCCTCTGTATGCTGTGATACTATTGGTTAATAAACTACTTTGGTTCTATAGACAGAGCAGAATAGAGCTAGGTAGAAAAACTAAACTAAATGCTGAGAGAAAGAAGGTGGAGTCATGAGAAGCCATGGAGCCGCCAGTCGGAACTTTGCCAGTAGGCCATGAGCCTCATGGTAAAATATAAAATAATAGAAATTGGTTAACCAAGGATATAAGAGTTAGCTAGCAATATGCTTAAGTGATTGGCCAAGCAGTGATTTAAATAATATAGTTTCTGTGTGGTTATTTTGAGTCTGAGTGGCCAGAAACACACAAGTGGCCTCCACCAACATACACATCTGACTAGAAACATGTACAGTTGTGCATGTAAAATTAACTAAGTTAAAAAACATGTAAAGTTCACCCATGCAAAGTAGGCAAGAGCTGTGGCTCAGAACAATGCACCTGTAGCAGCCATATGTAGCTCAAGGAGAGATCGCCTCAGCCACCTGAATTAACAGCACATCAGGCCAGAATATGCCCTGCTTCCCTCTGACCATGGGCCAGGATAAAAAGTCTAAGCTAACTCTGAGGACAAAAAGACCCAAGAAGACACAACACCTGTATGAGAATGTGAGACTACTCCTACATAAAAACAATATAAGCCTTTTAAGGATTGAGAGCCATTAGATATTTGTTAGCATGTATCCAAATTCTTATTTTTCAAAATAGTTTTATTTTTTATTGCTGTGTTCTTTGTAAAGCCTTCTAGCTAACCAGTGTGTATTATCTTATAGTTGTGTATCTATAAAGTCTTAGAAGTAAACTGTTAACATTCTACAGGAAAACAACATCTGACAAGGGAGCCTAAACATTTCTGAAATGCTATGACATTTCCTACAGGAAAAGCATAATGAACTTCAGATAAGTTCATTATGTCTTAACAGCCATATCTTCTATATTTCATTGCTTAAATTGGGCCTAAAGGGCTTATTGGCACTAACTCCTTGACATCTTTCCCCAGTGTGGGTCCAAATCAGACCAACCAGGATCAGTCTTTCGCTAGCATTGTGGAACAATGGAGAACAAAGCATCAGACGGTTAATCAACAATGTCTTCAGAAAGTACTGAGAGAATAGTGTTAGGGAGACCGTCAGAACTGAAATAGTCCCAGTGGGCATGGAACCCACCTCAGGAAAACTCAAACAAAAGGATCATAATTTTGAGGCCAGCCTAGGATTTATGATAAGACCCTTTCTCAAACCAACAAGGTGGAATTGCTTGTGCCAACCTTCCAAAAATAAATAAAAGTCTGAGGTTATGAAAAATGGCTCTTACACATAGTTACCTGGTACTAATGAAAACCACTCTAACCTCAGTCCCTAGCTGCATCTGCATATTTGTTTCAGACATGTTTATGTTCCCCTCAAGATTAAGGAGCTAAAATATGAAGTGGGGAAATATCAGAAGTCTGGCAGGAATGATGACATTCTAAAGAGATAGAAGCAGACTGCTGAACAGTGAACCCCAAAGAAATGGGAATTTGCTCAGGGATCTATGCTGAAAAAAGGAAAAGGTCACAGCCAGAGGGGGACCTTGTTTCTGAAAAAGAGAGACTTCTTCTACACAGTTCTAAGGACTTCTCAGATCACCGTACAGGGTAAGACTGAAGTCCAGACAAGGATAGGTCAATAGTGGGATGGACCACACCTTGACCAGGAATGCTTAGATGTGCAATTTTTTGACCCTCTATTTATATATTGATTTCACTTCAGAATACCAAAAAAATACTTGATTGGTTCTCCCTAGCTCTTTGCTCCTCTTCCCCATGTGACCACATTGAATGTCTTTTTTTCTGCTTTATACTTAAAACAAAGTTATGTAAAAACTTTTCTATAATCAGAGCACTGTGCTACCAGCAATAAACTACACAAAAGTGATGGACAGAAGAGGACAGGGTGCCAAGCAGACAAGCACATCTATGTGCAAGTAGTCTTAGAAACAAACAGGTGCAGGAATAGCAACACATTCATAAGCAAAACAAACAAAGAGCTGATTCATTCAGAATCAGCTGAACTGTATATATTTCAGCACATGTATATATTTCCATCTTCTTTGTACAAAGGTTTCAAGGTGGATGATAAGAACTATTAAAAGAGGACTGGGGAAGGTGTTGCACACCAGTGACTCTAGCATTGGGGAAACTTAGATGGGAATATCACAAGTTCAGAGCCAGCATGGGCTAATGGTGAACTTCAAATGTATTCAAAATGCATCACTGACTTAATTGCAAACCCTGAAGTGATAGAACTTCTAGAACAAAACATAGCTGAAAATCATTGTACACTCCAGTTAGGTACAATGTTTTAGATGCAATGTCAAAAAACATGATCCATAAAAAGACTAAACAAATTATAACTCACAAAAATTCGAAATTCCGATTTTCAAAAGACATAATTTAGTGAGTAAAAAGCTATAACCACAGACTGAAAGTCTTTGTAAATCATGTATTTTATAAAGGCTTGTATAAAACAGATCATATAATCACACACACATATACATATAATGCATATACATATATGCATAGAGAACAATCCCACTAAGGACTGAACAAAAACATGAAAGGATATTTCAACAAAAGATATAGAGATCATTATATGAAGAGACTCTTGACCTAACTAATGGGCAGGTAAATTAAAATCAAAACTATAATACATTATAAGTTAACTAAAATTAATA